TGTAATGTGTAACCAGGTCTCTGTGATTTATCAGACAGGACTGCAAATCTTAATGGAGGAGAAACCCAAGCTTCTGTTTGAGCTGGAAATACTGGCCATATTATTGGCCTTAGCCATTTTTCTTTTTGTAAAAGTTGGAAAATGATAAGGAAGAAAGCAACTTCATAGTAAAATGAAAAGAGTACAAAGAAGAAAGATTAAAAGGTAAAATGTTTTCACTGAATTAAGCCTGGATTTGGGCCAAAATCCCATTCGGGTACCATAGCTGGTTTGTTTGTTTGTTTTAAGATGGAGTCTCACTCTGTTGCCCAGGCTGGAGTGCAGTGACGTGATCTCAGCTCACTGCAGAACTCCAACTCCTGAGTTCAAGCGATTCTCCTGCCTCAGCCTCCCGAGTAGCTGGGACTACAGGAGCACGCCACCACACCTGGTTAATTTTTGGTATTTTTAGTAGAGACAGGGTTTCGCTATGTTGGCCAGGCTGGTCTTGAGCTCCTGGCCTCAAGCAATTCTCCCCCCTCAACCTCCCAAAGTGCTGGGATTACAGTCCTAAGCCACCATGCCCAGCCCATAGCTGTTTTTTCCTCTCACCGTCCACATTTCAGTCTGAGGCAATGAGTGAGTGCTGAAATCCAAGAACAGCTCATTTATTTTTTTCCTTAAGAGTGATCCTCCTAGTACAGTTTCATAAACATGAAATACCTATCTCTTCTTAGAAATAAGTAGTGTGTTATAAATAATTACCTCTGTTATTACCTGAGATGACAGAGGAATGTTGGGAAGTCATGAACTCATACAGGAAGGGAAAATACTCCTTTTCTTGCTGTCCAGCCCTGTTGTCCTACTTCTCCATTAGCATTTATATTATCCCTGTGTAGATAGAATTCACAGTCAGGGGGTAGAAAACCAGCATCAGACCTATAAACTGGCTGTGTCCAAGTGGACAATCTTGCTGGTTTAAAAGACTGAACTGACTCTCCATAGCTGTAGCATCCTGAATTTCCTTATTGTCACGACCAACCTCAGCAATTGCAGCAGAAAATACAGCTTTCGACACATTTTCAAATGAATTTAAGAACCAGTTAAATAAACCTTATGAAAAGTAAGAATATCAAAGTGCAGAATATCATTAGTTTCCCATATTATAAAATCAAATTTATAGAAAGCTTATACAGGATTGGAGGCTGGCAAGATGGCCGAATAAGAATAGCTTTGGTCTGCAACTCCCAGTGAGATCAGTGCAGAAGGCTGGTGATTTCTGCATTTCCAACTGAGGTACCTGGCTCATCTCACTGCGACTGGTTAGACAGTGGGGGCAACACACAGAGGGTGAGCTGAAGTAGGGTGGGGCATTGCCTCACCCAGGAAGCACAAGGGGTCGGGGAACTCCCTTCCCTAGCCAAGGGAAGCTGTGAGGGACTGTGCCATGAGGAATGGTGCACTCTGGTCCAGATACTATGCTTTTCCCACAGTTTTTACAGCACATAGACCAGGAGAGTCCCTTGGGTGCCTACGCCAACAGGGTCCTGGGTTTCAAGCACAATACTGGGAGATCCTTTGGGCAGACACCGAGCTAGCTGCAGGACTTTTTTTTTTTAATACCCCAGTGGCACCTGGAACATCAGCGAGACAGAACTGTTCACTCCCCTGGAAAGGGGGCTAACGCTAGGGAGCCAAGTGGTCTACTTTAGTGGATCCCACCCCCACGGAGCCCAGCAAGCTAAGATCCACTGTCTTGAAATTCTCACTGCCAGCACAGCAGTCTGAAGTTGACCTGGGATGCTCAAACTTGGTGCAGGGAGAGGGGTCCACCATTACTGAGGCTTGAGTAGGCAGTTTTCCCCTCACAATGTAAAGAAAGTTGCGGGGAAGTCCCAATTGGGCGGAATCCTCCACAGCTCAGCAACGCTGCTGTAACCTGACTGCCTCTCTAGATTCCTCCTCTCTGGGCAGGGCGTATCTGAAAAGAGGCAGCAGCCCCAGCAAGGAGCTTATAGATAAAACCCCCATCTCCCTCAGACAGAGCATCTGGGGGAAGGGGTGGCTGTGGGTGCAGCTTCAGCAGACTTAAACATCCCTGCCTGCTGGCTCTGAAGAGAGCAGTGCATCTCCCAGCCCAGCGTTCAAGCTCTGCTAAGGGTCAGACTGCCTCCTCAAGTTGGTCCCTGACCCCTGTGTCTCCTGACTCCGAGACACCTCCCAGCAGGGCACAACAGACACCTCATACAGGAGAGCTCTGGCTGGCATCTGGTGGGTACCCCTCTGGGATGAAGCTTCCAGAGGATTGAACAGGCAGCAGTCTTTGCTGTTCTGCAGCCTCCACTGGTGATGCCCAGGCAAACAGGGTCTGGAGTGGACCTCCAGCAAACTCCAGCAGACCTGCAGCAGAGGGGCCAGACTGTTAGAAGGAAAACTAACAAACAGAAAGGAAAGCATCAACATCAACAAAAATGATGTCCACTCAGAAACCCCATCTGAAGGTCACTAACATCAAAGAACAAAGGTAGATAAATCCATGACGATGAGGAAAAACCAGCACAAAAATGCTGACAATTTCAAAAACCAGAATGTCTCTTCTCCTCCAAAGGATCACAACTCCTCGCCAGCAAGGGAACAAAACTGGATAAAGAATGAATTTAATGAATTGACAGAAGTAGGCTTCAGAAGGTGAAATAACAAACTCCTCTATGCTAAAGGAACATGTTGTGACCCAATGCAAGAAAGCTAAATACCTTGAAAAAAGGTTAGAGGAATTGCTAACTAGAATAACTAGTTTAGAGAAGAATATAAATGACCTGGTGGAGCTGAAAAACAGCACAAGAACTTCGTGAAGCATACACAAGTATCAATAGCCAAATCGATCAAATGGAAGAAAGGATATCAGAGATTGAAGATAAATTTAATGAAATAAAGCATGAAGACAAGATTAGAGAAAAAAGAATGAAAAGGAATGAACAAAGCCTTCAAGAAATATGGGACTATGTGAAAAGACCAAACCTACATTTGATTGGTGTACCTGAAAGTGACATTGAGAATGGAACCAAGCTGGAAAACACTCTTCAGGATGTTATCCAGGAGAACTTCCCCAACCTAGCAAGACAGGACAACATTCAAATTCAGAAATTACAGAGACGACCACAAAGATACTCCTTGAGAAGAGCAACCCCAAGGCACATAATAGATTCACTAAGGTTGAAATGAAGGAAAAAATGTTAAGGGCAGCCAGAGAGAAAGGTCAGGTTATCCGCAAAGTGAAGCACATCAGACTAACAGCAGATTTCTCTGCAGAAACCCTACAAGCCAGAAGAGAGTGGGAGCCAATAATCAACATTCTTAAAAGAATTTCATATCCAGAATTTCTTATCCAGTCAAACTAAGCTTCATAAGTGAAGCAGAAATAAAATCCTTCATAGACAAGCAAATGCCGAGAGATTTTGTCACCACTGGGTCTGCTTTACAAGAGCTCCTGAAGGAAGGACTAAACATGGAAAGGAACAACCAGCACTAGCCAATGCAAAAAAAATTCTAAAGACCATTGACACTGAAGAAATTGCATCAACTAACGAGCAAAATAACTAGCTAACATCATAATGACAGGATCAAATTCACACATAACAATATTAACCTTAACTGTAAATGGGCTAAATGCCCCGATTAAAAGACACAGACTGACAAATTGGATAACGAGTCAAGACTCATCAGTGTGCTATATTCAGCAGACCCATCTCGTGTACAAGGACACACATAGGCTCAAAATAAAGGGATGGAGGGATATTTACCAAGCAAATGGAAAGCAAAAAAAAAAAAAAAAACATGAGTTGCAATCCTAGTCTCTGATAAAACAGACTTTAAATCAACAAAGATAAAAAAGGACAAAGAAAGGCATTACATAATGGTAAAGGGATTAATGCAACATGAAGAGCTAAATATCCTAAACATATAGCCACCCAATACAGGAGCACCCAGATTTATAAAGCAACTTCTTAAAACCTACAAAGAGACTTAGACTCCCACACAATAATAGTGGGAGACTTTAACACCACACTGTCAATATTAGATTAATGAGACAAAAAATTAACAAGGATATTTTGTACTTGAACTCAGCTGTGGACCAACTGGACCTAATAGACATCTACAGAACCTTCCACCCCAAATCAATAGAGTATACATTCTTCTCAGCACTACATCACACTTATTCTAAAATTGAGCACATAATTGGAAATAAAACACTCCTCAGCAAATGCAAAAGAATGGAAATCATAACAAACAGTCTCTCAGACCACAGTGAAATGAAATTAGAACTCAGGATTAAGAAACTCACTCACAACTGCACAACTACGTGGAAACTGAACAACCTGCTCCTGAATGACTACTGGGTAAATAACGAAATTAAGGCAGAGATAAATAAATTCTTTGAAACCAAGGAGAACAAAGATACAAGGTACCAGAATCTCTGAGGCAGAGCTAAAGCAGTGTTTAGAGGGAAATTTATAGTGCTCAGTGCCCACAAGAGAAAGTGGGAAAGATCTAAAATCAACACCGTAACATCACAATTAAAGAACTAGAGACACAAGAGCAAACAGATTCAAAAGCTAGTAGAAGACAACAAACAACTAAGATCAGAGCAGAACGGAAGGAGATAGAGACATAAAAAACTCTTCAAAAAATCAATGAATCCAGGAGCTGCTTGAAAAGATCAACAAAGTAGATAGACCACTAGCTGCACTAATAAAGAAGAAAAGAAGAATCAAATAGACGCAATAAAAAATGATAAAGGGGATATCACCACTGATCCCACAGAAATACAGACTACCATCAGAGAATACTATAAATACCTCTATGCAAATGAACTAGAAAATCTAGAAGAAATGGGTAAGTTCCTGGACACATACACCCTTCCAAGTCTAAACCAGGAAGAAGTTAAATCCTTGAACAGACTGAAACAAGTTCTGAAATTGAGGCAGTAATTAATAGCCTACCAAGCATAAAAAGCCCAAGACCTGACACAGCCAGGGCCAGCCTCGCAGGTTCCCGGGTGGTGCGCGTTCGCTGTCTCCTTGGCTCCGGGATGATCGGCCAGAAGACGCTCTACTCCTTCTTCTCCCCTAGCCCCGCCAGGAAGCGACGCGCCCCCAGCCCCGAGCCGGCCGTCCTGGGGACTGGCGTGGCGGCCGTGCTTGAGGAGAACAGAGATGCGGCGGCCAACCCCCCCAAGAAGGCCCCGGCCGCGCAGGAGGAGCCCGGGACGCCGCCCTCCTCGCCGCTGAGTGCTGAGCAGTTGGACCGGATCCAGAGGAACAAGGCCGCGGCCCTGCTCAGACTTGCGGCCCGCAACGTGCCCGTGGGCTTTGGTGAGAGCTGGAAGAAGCACCTCAGCGGGGAGTTCGGAAAACCGTATTTTATCAAGCTAATGGGATTTGTTGCAGAAGAAAGAAAGCATTACACTGTTTATCCACCCCCACACCAAGTCTTCACCTGGACCCAGATGTGTGACATAAGAGATGTGAAGGTTGTCATCCTGGGACAGGATCCGTATCATGGACCTAATCAAGCTCACGGGCTCTGCTTTAGTGTTCAAAGGCCTGTTCCGCCTCTGCCCAGTTTGGAGAACATTTATAAAGAGCTGTCTACAGACATAGAGGATTTTGTTCATCCTGGCCATGGAGATTTATCTGGATGGGCCAAGCAAGGTGTTCTCCTACTCAACGCTGTCCTCACGGTTCGGGCCCATCAAGCCAACTCTCGTAAGGAGAGAGGCTGGGAGCAATTCACCGATGCAGTTGTGTCCTGGCTAAATCAGAACTCAAATGGCCTTGTTTTCTTGCTCTGGGGCTCTTATGCTCAGAAGAAGGGCAGTGCCATCGATAGG